CCCCCCTCCTTCCCCCCCCTCCCCAACACCCGAACCTCCTCCCAAGAGCCCTGCCACCTTCAATTTAATGTACACCAGTAAGAGCGGGGAAGGGGGGAGGAGGTGCAGCGCGATCTTCGAAGGAGGGGTGTAGTGGGGTGACCGGGGGATGGAGGGAGGGCGATAGCGCAATGATCGAGGAGTGGGTTGTGAACTGACTGAGGAAGTGTAGTGGCGAGGGGGAAGGGAAGATGAAAACTCGTCCTCCCCCCCCTCCCCTTCCCGCTCTCCCAAGAGAGCACCCTGGATCCGCTTATTTATTGGGATGCTCCCAAGCAGCTAAGTCAGGTGTTTCGATCCCGGGTTGCACACCTCCGGTTAGTACCCACTGCCAGTTTGACATATGTACTACGTCGTCTCTTGTGTGTACCATTCACTGAAGAGCATCGTCCACTGGTTACTGGCAGGGGCGAACAACATGTCCTATCTACAGGATTTTACTTTCTCGCGTTCTCGTACTGAATTCCTACACGTCGTTCATCTGATAGAAAATCCAATTGTTTCTACAGTGGCGGAGGAATACGCCAAGCAATCATCGCTTCATCGCTCTCTCCGTGGCAGCTGGCGCTTGCCCTTCCACTTCTGTGAGTGCCTACCTTCGCGTCCGTATTTATTGTCTTCAACACAGTGGTATTAAAAACAAATAAAAGTAAATCGCTGAAACATACATAAGCTTTCGCTAGAAGATGTTTTGGGAGATGGCACAGCGATGCCTGCAGTAATTTCTATGGAAAAAATGGGCAAGCTGGTAAGCAATTGTCTTTTTCTTGTTTATCAAGAAAAACTTTAAATAACAATAGTTCGTTTTCAGAAATTCCGGAAATTTTCCGCGGAATGCAATTCCCAAGGTCATCAAGTCGTCGTTAAAGTATACACTGTCCAAGGGAGTATCGAAGTATTATTGTTAAGCATGCTACTACTTGAGACCATAGGCAAAGCCGCGGGTTTCTCGGCGATTCTTGCATTCTACAAACATTTTGCAACTGACCATTGCATTCTAAATTGTTTCAAAAAATATGCAAAATATATATGGCAAGTGTGTTGATGCTACGTTGACTCTCTTTACAGTCTGTGATATTTCTTTGTGCTAAGTGGGCATTAACTGGACTAAGAGAAACGAGAACAGTGCAGTAAAGACCATTCAATCCAGATATTCGGCTGTTTGCCACCAGAAATAACAGAATAGGAGACAGGGGGTCAGACTAAGTACCACGTACAAGAAGACATGCTTGGATACAATCTGTGTTTCATCCCTTAGCTGTAAACACACACACATGAGCGCAGAAGACACCCTTCACTTGTTCTGAAATTTTTTTGTACAGCTATGTGCCTGTTGTGTATCGGCGGTCGTGTGCAAGTCACGTTCCTGGCCCAGCAGCCACGTCCGGACTGCATCGTACTGCTACAGCAGCGGCAGGGTGGCTCCAGTTGTGCAGGGATGCACTATTCGGCTGGATTATCGAACCTGTTGTTGTGGGACACCGCTTTCTGCCGTTAACGACAATTCCCACTTCTCCACACTTCCATTCTCTACAGTGCCGGCGGACTACCTGTTGTGCCTTGTGCTCGTGTTATGCCATTTCTGAAAGCGTATGTGTATGTGTGTGTACGGATATATGTACGTATGTAGGTACGTGTGCACATATCTGGGTATGTATGTAGGTGTGTGTGTGTGTATGTATGTATGTATGTATGTATGCATGCAAGGATGTTTGTGTATGTGTATTACGTTCGTAATCGTTGTGTTGATATGATTCGATAATAATAATGATAATAATGGCACTGATCATTTCCCATAAATGTCTGTGGGGCATCGCTGCATAAATTTGTTGCCCGGAACTTCCAACCAGTCAGCAGAATTCGTCGAATTATCAATATCAGTCCAATTTGGCATTCATCTTTTTCCTTTTCTTTTCCAGTAGCACTTCCCCAGGAAAAGAACAGAAATAACATTGTAGCCCGGAAAACTGGGTGTTTGGGTGCGTACGAAGCGCTACAGCTGGCAGCATTTTCGATA